CATCAACTTGTGTCACCCAGTCGTCGTTTGTGTTGTCATCCACAATGACAGAGACGTCCATGAACTCAAGTGTCTTGTGCTATGACTATCCTAGTATCGGTGCATTCGAAAAGACGAAAGATGTTTGTCAGTTTGATGAGGATAAGCCAGCTGTGTAATTGTTAAACTGGCTTGCACGAATAAAGGCATTTGAAGTTCCAAATTACTATCTGAATGCCACTACCTTTGGTGTAAATTGCTATGTGCCTACGCTCAACTGATCAGATACGTCGTGTGTTTGTTAGTCATCTACATTCCACGATACAATGTTATGGGCGTGTCACCGTTCAGAGTTGAGGATATAGATGATAGAAAGAATTCGGCAAAAAAATCAACGACGATTTTCAACCTAGGACGTCAACCTGAGAAGGAATGTAGGCGTACTGCTGTAAGCCCTGCAGTCCTTCAAGGGTAGTCCGTCAAGGCAGAATCCACAACATTTGATGTACGTATGTTTGTGTTGAGAAATTGAGTGGGTTCCAATTAATTTCATTGTTGGTTAATCTTGTTTGTGTCCGGACATTCTTCAACCTAAAATCGTCAACCTGAGAAGGGTTGCAGGCGTACTGGTGTAAGTCCTGCAATTCTTCAAAGGAATTCCATCAAGACATGATCCGAGAGGTTAGGTGCACTGTTTGTATATGTGTAGTGTGTCATATCAATTGGTGTATTTGGATTCACTGTGTTCACTTGTTGTTTTCGTACCTTGTTCTTATGCATAATTTTGTGAAAATTTTCGTCGTGATTACTTCTGAAGTTGTTTCGAGTCTTCTACATCCGTGAATGAATTGATTGATGTTAAAGACAGCAGATGGGTCGTATGCGCTGGGGAGGCTATTAATGAGAATGACATGCACACGGAGTTAAGGATTAGCTGTGGAATCAATGATTGAGAATGAATGTTTCTATTTAGACTGTGTTCCCACAGGGAGGGGAGCGAGAGTGTAGACGACTGAGGCTCGCATACGTCATCGGTACTAGAACTGACGCAGAATGAGTGACAAGCGATCGCAGTGGTAATTGGTAGTGAATAGATAAGAGGGTGTGTGATGTGTATCATGAGGTGCCGCTCTGGTCACGTTGCTTTCTGCAAGAGCCACTCTAGCAAGTGGCGATTGTGTTGCAAGATGTAAAGAGGATGCCCTTAACTGGAAGGCGTAGGTCGTCGTCTATGAGTGAGATTGTGCTGTAGGTATGCCTGTGGTGTGTTGGCTTTTCTGTTTGTTTTTCATTTCAGCTCTGTCCGTGTGACCCAGGTTCTCGCAATGGCATCCAAGTCAACGTGTATCGGTCGTGATGGAAAAAAGGGATGGATCCCGTTTTTGCCAGGGAAGGTCAATATAGTTGAAGATTGAACGATCAATTCATGGCTGTTTGCTCAAACGTTATCCCTCCACATTTTTCGTGGGATTCATCAGTCCAGCAGTCATCGTCTCATCGTCCGCTGTTCAGTGGAAGAGAGAAGTGTCAGAAGTATTATCGTGATTTGTTGTTATAACATTTATTCTTAGACCTTGTGTATACTAACCTTATTGTTGGTTACATATTGGCGTAAGAATGAAGGATTCTCGAGTCGCCAATCTGTGTTCTGGTTGTTCGCGTTGGTTATTACAAATTGTTTCTGAAAGTCTTCCAGGGACAGCATGAGGTCCAGCGTGGTTAGTGCTGGACATCGGCAGTTTCTGAGTGTTGGCTGACAACCCATTTGAATTATATTCCTACTCCATCCGGAGAACTGTGTTACCGTGGAATTAGGCTGCATTCAGGAGTCAGCACGTTAGTCTCTATGGTATAGATCAACGTGTGTCGTTATCAGTTAAGAGGAGCTATAGTTTGTTCTGTTCGAAGGCTTCTTCTAGTAGTAGGTATTTCCGGCCTCCTAAAATGAGTGTTGTAATTTGATGCCATATTAGATATGGTCATATCAACATCTGGATATAGAAATCAGTACTAAACGGTATCCAGTTCGGATATGAGTTAGAGAAACTAAGAGGGTGAGTTTGACAGACTACAGTGTAGGAGAAAATGAAAACTAGTTGTTGGGTTAGATACAAGCATATGTGAGAAATTGACACACTTACGAACACTTAGACTTCTGTTCTTTCTATCCACAAGCGACAAATATATCCAAGAGCCTAACTGGTAAGCCAGAAGATGTTAATAATGAAATCAAACAAAATATCACTGGTGGATAACTACCCATTTGAGTATATTGAGTAATGTATCAAAAACCATAGGAAAAAGAGTACTAATTAATGTGACAAAAGTAACATAGAATTCAAAGCCTATGTAGTACTACCGTATAAAGAAGGAACGAAACAGGCCTCGCGTAGAATTTTCATTGAGGCTGGAATAGGAGTGGCACTTAAATTAAACGACTCATTCAGACATCTATAAAACAGAAAATAATCGAGCAAAAAATATCCTTCTGGATAAATTCTTCTGGCTGTTCAATTATATATAAGTTTATATATACAGAGTATTCTAGATTTGTAGTCAGTAACAATCATAGTGTTTTTTAAATGATATCCATTTGCAAAGTAAGATTAGTGCAATTCCAGTTCATTAAAGCTGCCTAAGTTATAATAGTAATAAAGATATAGTAGCAAATAGAATATCAAACAATACTAGGAAAATTCACGATCTTTTAGAAGTAGATGGCCAAGATAAGGATAATGTCTGAACTGACTACTTTTGGAAGCATATATAAGGGTTGTTAATATGGATCCCAACATCCTCAGCAATATTTAGAAGTCGAACTCTTAAGACAAATTTGAGATTCGTTGGTGTGCGCTCGATGACCCTGAAAGAGTTGTTAATGTCAATCTTGTGTTCTTTATCCACAAAGTGAGACAGATTAGCAGCAGGAATATATTTGTTTGTTCTTTGCTTAACCCCACAGTGTGATGCTCGGAAATTCGACGAGAAACACGCCTAAATTTACGCTCTATGGAACTGGCTCACTCCACAGGAGCAGTTAAATTGGTGCATGCACATGAAGGAGGCGAAAAGAATATTATTTGATCAATTATTTTGTGTTTTATCGTCCCCCGAACTTAGACAAACTTTGTTCCAATGATGACCAAATAGGCTCATTTGGCAAAATTAATATCTACTAAATGACATGTGATGGCTGGGTCACACTTGTGGATTCCGTTCACTTAGGTTACCGAGGCAGAGAAATTTAGCTACAGCTGGAAAGATTCACCCTACTAAGATAAATAATCTAGCGAAAACCCATCCATTGCATCGCGTTCACTTGCACGTAATCAATCACCAAATACGGTAGGATAGGGAGGAAGTATTAAAAAAAATATAGTTAGGTGGAGGGAGAGGTTCATCGCTGAATCGTTGTTCATCGAATAAACACCGAACACGTGCAATCGAAATGACTCAACACCAATCCCGGACATATGGGAAATTGCAATGAATGACAAGGAGGAGAGGATATATGTATATGCAGAGTATGAAGGCGTGTTAATGCATTCATATGATTATGAGCAATAATTGATGCTCGAAACGTCATCCAGTTATCAATATTGCATCACTGTGTGGTATGTGAAATAAACTAATCTAATATGGAATTACGCTCTACCACAATGCTCGGTATACTTTGCCTGAGAAACATTCCCCAAGGTGTTTGTTTTTCTTTTGAATACTTTCTAGCTCCTCAGCAGGTTGAATTTTATCGTTTGTGCTTCAAAAACTAGTTCGTAAGTGAAGAATATGGCTTTTGAAGACTTATTGAATTTCTACAACTTTGTGTCCATATTATTTAGTGAATCAATTTGCGGTAACAATAAACATATTTCATAACACAGAATCGGTGTTCTTTATCAGGAGTATATGTGTATTGTCTTTGGTTCATCTTCAGAACAAATGGTTGTAACTCCGTAACTAAAGTCTACTTCATTTTGGGATTCCTCACACGTGAAATCATTGCTAAACACACATCATTTGAACCAGCAAATATTTCAGATATGTCCAAGACAATTTTTTGGGTCGATGGTTCATTGGCAGAGCATTCGTCAACCACCTGAATGGTATGGAGTTCTGTTGCTTGCAGTGACAGTGTGCGGTACATCCTTAAGTAATACCTGGCATTCCGATTATACGGAAGTGATAAACTGATATATCAAGTGTTGTGTGTTCACTTAGAAACTCTGCTGAATGACCCCAAAATCCGTACATAACACCCATGTTCGAAAGAATACAATCGGAATTTTAGACTCGAAAGTATTAGGATAATGAAGTCGGTATACTCGAAAAGATATTTCGTGCAAATTTTGACGATCAAGGATGGATAATTTTATACTAGTATACTGTCGTAATTGAAACGGTTTGTTGCGGTCTTGAAAACAGTCAGAAAGTGGGTTTTGAATAGCAGGATCCAAGGTGCATGATATTTTAATCTGTAATAAAGAGAAATTAGTAATGGTGTTACCCTTGTTTCTTTTTGAAGAAAAAGAAAATCGCGTCGGTGGTACAGCAGTTGGGACGCTCACCGACCATGCACATGGTCCGGTTTTCGATCCCCGGCCGACGCACTCCTTTACCTGGCTAAGCCAGAAATAATGCTGGTAAAGAAGAAAGCCTGGAGATGAGGCTAGCAACCGCATCCTCTAAAAGTAAACTCTGCTACAGAAACTCCAAGCCACTAGCTTGAATCCCTATGTTCCACTGGGAACGTGAAGGAAATATTATTTGTTTCTTTTTATTGGGAATTACTCCGCATCATTTTACAACCATTTTCTGAAAAATTTTGAAGAATAATTTGAATGATCTACAGGCTCTTTAGAAAAGAGCTTGTAGGCTGATATTTGTCTTCGGTATAAAATCACATTTTGTTTAGTGTAACAGGTTCCATTATATATAAGTATCTGAGGGCTAATGGACGCGACGCCCTGAACAAAATATTATGTCATATTTTCATGATATCAGGTGATTCAGAGCTTGCATAGAAAACATTTTTCATCAGCATTCTTGTTTCATATTATCTATTTCGTTTCTGATGTGCTTTTGTTTTAATCAATCATTAAGTAACTATTATGTTGCATATTATTCAAAAATGACGCTTTGATCTGAGTTTCCTGTCACATGTGGATTCCTCATCATCATATTATATTTGCTTAGCTTGTGTCTGCCTGATATATTTGTGCTAAATTTATAGTAGTGAGTGAATCCTTATTATCTTTTTAATGATTCAGTGGTATATTTTTATATAATTCTTAAATGCTTTTTATATGTTTTTATAATTTTGGTTAGATGTTTTCAAGCTTTTTTTTATCTCATATTAGTTTCATGTTCAGTGGGTTTTATAACTGACATGCAATGTGATCTGGTTCCGAGATAGATGCAATACACCATTTAGGTCTAGGATACACTTATATATATATATATATATATATATATATATTTGGATTTCGCATTTTGGAGCCGTATAAGCTTGGATATTCCTTGTATTTAATATTGGCAGTGAGAATAACTGACGTCGCAGTATTTAGATTTAATTGTCAAAAGTGTGCATAACTCATTTGTTACATCGGTTGAGGATGTTGTATGCATAGTTGCCTAGCACGTCACATTCCAGCTCTGTAAAGTCATAGTCATAAGTTTATTCTGATGTTTTTCACTGAGTTTGTGGAGCGTAAGATAATCTGTTCCGCGTATTCGCTAGTACTTTCCTTTCGGTTTTTAGTTGTACATTACACATTTGTTATTCGACAAATATTGTCGCAAATCTTGTTATTTTAATTGGTCCTAAGAAGACTTATCTTATGCTCTGTTTGGTTGTCAGAATACTTGGACTTTTCTTAACCTACTTTATATGTGTCAATCTTATCTTTGTTTGCTTTCGCAAAGTCCTATAACTGGATCCATTTAGCCTCTACATAAAAATGTTGTGTTCTGTATATCATAACCTGTCTTGGAGGCATCTAAAAGCAGCTTCTTTAGACTAAGAACATGTGTGTTGATATCACCACAGTTATGTCAAATGGAAAACTTTACACATATGTGAAATTTTTTTCTTGAAAGTTAAAGGGACAAATGTTTGTTTCCATAAACGTCTGCATAAAATTGTTTATGACATGCTTATAACTGTTTCACTTACGAATTTTGATAAGTCTACAGTCAACACTTTATCCGTTTGATGTGTTATTGTACTGTGAAATTAATTTCAGTCTTAATGTTCCGAAACCACTGTTTTTTCTCACTCTCATTTATGTTTTTGAGCTTGCCCTTAAGTATATAGCTTCTTCAAGTTTTTGAAGATGCCTTACGCTCATGTATATGCTTAGAAAACTGTCCTTGCTCACTGTCTTACAAATAGTTCGTCGTGAAATCTATGAGAAAACAATTAACTATGAAAATATCATAGGCATATAAAAATGTTGTAAATGCGTTTAACGCTCTCTCCCTAAAAGTAGTGTAACGTAACCTCATGCTCAGTTTGCAGAACACAGCTGGAAACGTTTTGAAGACGCAAATGATATTTATATATTATTTGTGTCATTTGTTAATCGTTACATAAACAATTATTATTCGTAAGATGGAGTTATAAGTGCATAAACGGGCGCTAAATAGGTGTTTGAAAAAGCATAAGATGTGACCTATACTTCCCATAAATTAGTTTTTGAGGAGGATTTATTAGGAGTCAATTTTCTTTTTGAAGTGTTATATGGATTTTAAGATAATTGTATTTGGGTATATAAACAAATCACTGTTTTCAACTATATGTTTCACCGAAATTACCTAATTACAGCGAAATGAATAATAATGTAAAGACAAGAAGTTATTCTCTCATTCTTGAATGTTGTTTGATGTACTGTGGCATCTACTACTTTTTTCAGAAAAGGAGGTCTATATACCAAACGATTTTAGTTTTCGATTCTTCAATGTTCTCAATGGATATTCTCGATATCTGTCAGTGACCCTACTTGTCAGTCCATTTCTGTTTATTTCTTTTTAAATGAATGTATTCATTTCACCAGACATCTTACATTTTGCACATTGTCTTTCAGCTCATTTTAGGTTTTCTGTAGTTGGTTTGCCTACCAAACTACGTTCACCCAATAAGGTCCCCTAAACAACGCTTTCTCATTTTATAATTCATAATTGCACCGTATACTATTGGTGATAAATTGTAAGCAATGTCAACGTGGTGAATCTTATTCCTCAGCATTATAAAGGTTTATAGTAATTTACCTTTTCTTGGAGAAGAATTATTTTCGAAACTTTGGTGGACATTGTGACAAAGTCATCCTCACTGGCTACTTGTATACACTCAGTAATATCCTGACTTGGTTTCCATATTACTATTAAATTTCACGATCTTCGCTAGAAGCCAGAATAACTTCATATTTGAGGTTGACAGGTGCAGTTTGTATTCTTTCACCAAATGTATAGATGATTATATACCCATCTATTTATTGAGAAACAAATTTACCCCTTTGAACAAACACTGTGAAATATTAGTCTGCATTCACTTTATTTGACATATGAGTTTAAAATAATACTCTACTATACGTCTAGTTGACTCACTTATTGCTGATTATTGTTTTTCTTATATCTTTAATTCTTTCCTCACGTTCAGCTAAGATGTGTGCCAGATATAAATACCGAGACTTAATTCTGGTCTTTATGCTGATAGTGTCTAATTGACTCTCCACTGAAAATTTATCTGTTAAAGAAACATTCAGTTTCACCGAAGAGTTGCTTACAACACTCTCCAGAGTTGAATAGTATAAAGTGGATTTGCAAAATATTGACAAAATAAATAAGGTATCGAAAGCAACTATGTTCAGATTACCTTACCTCTTCTGATAGTGAATGCTCTATGTTCTCAAATAATATGTTTATCAATGGACAACAAAATATAATAATATACAAACCTAATTTTAAATTCTGATGATCAAGATAATTCTGTTATAGGATACACCAACCTTCTATGATGTAAGAACTGTTGTGTGCAACAGTTTTATTGCCAAAATCTCTTGGGAGGTAAATGAGAATTTGTGGAGCAATTATTCATGCTCGAAACTCCATCCAGCTATTACTAATACATCTCTGTGTGGTACTTGAAATACATTTAACTAATATGGAATCAAATTCTACCACAGTGACCAAGTTCTACACTGACATTAGAGGCTCAAAGGTTTCACGAGCTGCTCTTTTCTTTCTGTTATTATGTTGACAGCGTTGTGTTTATCATTTTAAAAGGGAAGTCTGAGAGAAGTCAATGAAACACATGATCTAACTCACTTGTCAATAATATTTTAGTTTTTCAAACTGGTTTTGGAAGAGACAGCAGGTCGGGTATGAGGACAATTACTCGCCGGTAACATTCGCTAGTGGTCGCGTCACATTGTGAATTGGCAGAATTTGAAATTCATGGACCATTGGATAGGGTCCCAGTTGCTTAATGGTCTACAAGCACACCTTGTGACTAGAAGGCCCTGGGTTCGAGCCTTAGTGAATGCATACTGCTGAAGAGTCTCAAACTGGTACGAAACAGCTGTCAAATACTCTCAGGTTTTCCAATGATTCTCTAACCTGTGTCATTTCATGTTAAAATCCTGAGACATATCTAACTTCACGAGAATAGGTGAGGCGATCTCCATTTAACAGACTGTAATAGGTTGATAACTGAAACTAAATACTCTGTCGCTCTATTTTAACATGAATCAGGTTTATATGAAAAGACCATAACAAACAGTTATTATGGGAAGACATTTGCGTATCATACCTGCTAATCGAAACTGAGAGCACCCTCAGGAACTGAAACAGAACAAAATTATATTTAGGGGCCTAATCTTTTACTTCAGTTGGTAAACACTGGATTAGCGACCCGGGCGATGTTGCTTGGTGTAATGTTGCAATATTTGACCATTCAATCCGTAACCTGACGCCTTTTCCAATCACTAGAGTTTCAACATTCGTATAATATGATCATCTTTTAAAATATAGATGTGGCTCACTGCTCAGTGTTGTTTAAATGTTCTAGTTATTTTCTGAGAAACATTACATAAACCTGGTTTTGTCTCAGCACCATTAAACTGCTGAATTATTTTTCATATGTGTTGGAGCGTATTAGTTTAAAGACGTATTTATTAACTGCTTTCTGCCAGTCGTATAGCGATTTAATTATTCAGTTTACAACTAGTTTTTATTTCATTTGAACGGTTTCATTCAGCGGCTGTCTTTCAGATGCTTTTATGAATTCAATAAAAATTTCTAAGATTTTATCCATTTTCCAAACTTAATAGATTTACGCACACATACACATAAAATGTGTTATAATTTATTTATACTCTTTTAAACTTTTCAATCGTTTTACAACGTTATAACTTTCATATTATGTTCTGCTCACACGTAAATAATAATGGATTATATGTTAATGACAGTTTATTGACATTTTAGCCTAACTCTTTGGATTTACTTCAATCTTTATAGTTTTTATAATATATCTGATCACTCCTAAGGAATAAAATGTTTGTGGATACAATTGATGAACTGTAAAGTATGGTTAAGCAAACTAGTGTGTCGTAAATTTGGAAACAAGAACAAAATAAAGTTGGAGGCTTGATTGCGGTATAATGAATAAAAAAAGTTAAAGAGAGCGTGGACTTACTGGCTGAGGAACATGAACCTTTATGTAGAGTCATAAGTTTATTGACGATTTGTATAGTGTAGTAAAATAGACGTAGCATAATTGACATATATTTCCGATAATTAACAATATCTTCAGTATTGCTATTTACACAAAACGTTTAAAATTTGAAATTTTACATTAGAATAATTTACTTTCAAGTGTTGGTTTGTAGGGATTTGATTGGTTTCAGGATTTCATCATGAGCTGACATTAGTTAGAGAACCATTGGAAAACCTGGGAGTACTGGACAGCTGTTTCGTCCTAGTTTGGGACTCTTCAGTAGTACGCTTTGATGGCTAGGTTAAAAATCGTGATGAAACAACACTCCATAAAGTACAGGAATGATCTGAAAATTCTAGTGGAGTCTTGAATAAAGTTTAAGAACCTGAGTCACAATATAGTTCAAACCAGAGACTAATTATGATCCCTTTATACCTCTATCAGTCTGGCATATATGGACTATTCTATAGTAAACAGTCTATAAGGGACTTTCAGTTCGCTTGTAATTTTGTTTTTGTAA